GCTACTGATAGGGCTGGAAAGCGGAGAGCCGACGTTGCTAATGTGCGCAGGACTGTGCAACATGGAGCCCCGGTTCTCAACGTTTGGTGAGCGCGACAGAGGGGTGCCCTGCCCCATGGGGCTGTGCATGGAAAAGTTCCCAAAGCTAGCGGTAGTCGAGGACATGGAATTAACTCCTGCAGGACTACATACTGAAGAGGCCATGTTCTGAGGGCTGCAGCCTGAGGGGCTTTTCTCTTGACACATGATAGGGCTTTTGACAATCGTGTGCATGGCACCGCCATTCACAGTGCTCCCAGAGTCCGACATCAAAGACCTCAAGGGCCTGCTGGAGCTGTGGAGGGGAGAGGAGCAATGGCCATTCTCCTTGTAGAGCTTTACCAGCTGCTCCACATTCTGATAGATCTTTCCTGGGCTTCCCTGGTTCTGCTGATCGTAGTGGTAATCGGCGTCTCGTATCGAATCCATATATAAACCCATGGATTCGGCCACCGCTGCCGACAGCTCCTTGGATTCTGTTTCGGTTTTGATGTCAGAGCGCAGGAGACCAGGCTGGCTGTTGTCTTGCTGCAGGCATGAGAGTAGCTCAGGTTTTTCTTTGCTGTTTCCTTGGGCACTGCTGTTTGTGAAAGTGCCGGCGGCGCAGCTGACGTTTACAATCTCCATGTAGTTACTGTCATCAGTCTGCTCTCCAGCACCTATGGAAGAATACTCCACAGACTGAGAAACTTGACCCCACCGTCTCTCCATATCTAAGCCTTCTGGGTAGCTGTGGTATCCTTTTGTCTCCATAACTAGCAAAGACATATATAAAAAAGTAAAATTAATGACAGGACAGTGTGACTTCCTAAGGAAATTTCCTAATTTCCTAAGGAACCAAGGCGTATCCGCTTTTTCTGTCTATCCTCCTCTCTCTCTCTGCATGCCAGTCCCATTTCCCTGCCCCATCCATCATCCTCAACCATTTGTCCAATTTCAATCAAACCGAGGGAAAGGTCTCATGGATATGACAGCCCTATGGGCTCAGGGAGAAAACAGCTAAGCAGTTAGGAAACACCCAAATTATTGCTCCCAGCCCTGCTCCAAAAGGAATGGCTTGGCAATGTCAGCACAACCACCCACCCTCCCTGGCCACAGCCCCATGGTTAGTGCCAGCTGTACCAGGAGCTGTACCTCACCTAAAAAAGGGAAAGGGGAGCAAGGAAGGAGGGGATCCAGAGAGGTCCTGAAAGGACATGCAGGATGAAAACCCTGTGGAAATTGCTCATTACAGCTCTGCTCCTCCAAAGACCTTCCACTGCCATGTTATGGGACAACAAAACAAAGGAGACTGCTGTTTTAAGGGTATGTCTCTTTATCTCCCTCACTATTCAGCATAACACAGGATGCTTTAGAAGGAACCAGTGATTCTGAGGGGCTGGGAGCCCAGCTACACAAACTTCTTGTACAACCTCCCAAGGAAACATGAAAGTGTGGGGAGAGAAGTAGGACAGCAGATCAGTAAGAAACATTTCTGCCACAGAGGAAGGGGATCAGACTAAGTGGGAATGCATGGCTATTAAACGGATCCATAACTCTGCCAATTGTACAAACTTCCACAGCAGCCAGCAAGAGGGGAAAAAAAAAAAGGTAAACCTTGTTCTAAAATGGACCCTAAAAAAACCCTTCCCATCCCACATGCCACTTTCTCAAGGCAAGCAGAAAAATGCATGACCCAGTCTCTAATAATCTGAAAACCACATATAAGTAACAACAATTTCTAATTTTTTAAGGATTTGGCTTATAGTATCATTAGAACTGCAGAAACTCAAGTGCCAACAGTAACAATATCAATATTATGCAAATATTTTTTTCCTTTCTGCATTTACACATTTTCCAATATTTAATTTAGTGTTCAACCTCTTTATTTAATGCTATTTAACTAAGCTATTATGAGCAAAATGATAAAAACAAAACAAAAACCCTTAAACTTAATTACTTGAATACCTCTTTGCCCTTACTTAATTGGAACTAGAGCCCAATGCTTACATTACCCTCAAGCACAAATTTTATTAGAATCTAGAATTATGCATCTCACATCATCATGTATATTAAATCACATTCCTATAGTCTAAAATTTTCAGACAGAAGTGCCTAATTCCACATAAAGTCACACAGATAATCACCTACCCCTGATTTAAGTGCTGAGCAAGCCTAATTCCTAGAGAAATCAACTGCAGCTGCGAGTGACCTGCATTTCTGAAAACCAGGAAACTTAGTTAAGGCTTAAAATTAGGATTTAACAGTCTCAGAAGCACCAGCAGAACCACTGCATACCAGGAAATCTCTGTTACAGGCCTAACATTACACCAATGTTTGAGCTTTGTAGAAACTTCTCCTACAGAAGTAAAATTCAAACTTCATATATAATCAATAGGTGAGCATACGCTGAAACTTCAGCAAATAAAAATCTGAGTCAATCAAAGGAAAGGAAAGTAGAAAATGCCCTGATCCTGCACTTGTAAAGGCTGGTAAATATATCCGAGAGGATCAGAAAGCAGCAGAGATTATTTGTGGCCTAATACAAGTTCAGTTTAAAATGACAGATATAAATTAGGGAGAATGCAGCAGCAAACGGATTTTTTGGGAGTGACGGTTTCTGTCACCTTCAAGTGCCTCAGTGGATACCAGAACCAAATTAATCATCTCAGGGGTTACTGGTAGCATTAGGGTTTGGTTTTGTTATTTCAGGCAGAACTTATTTCAACTTCACTAGCACATCTATCCGCAGAATCCACACTTCACCTAGCGCACACATATGCCTTTTTACTAACTTTCACTAAACAAATCTCACTGGGGGTTGAAACATCCACAGATACCCACAACTAAAGCTCAGCAGTGTTACATACTGGAACCAAAATCATCTCTATCTGACACTTTACAAAGCAAGAGACACTGTGTGCACAGTAGATATCCAGACTCCCTCTCCGAAGAATTACTGAGACACTGCAAGCTGTGTATTTCACCCCAAACATATCAACAAACACAGCCCTCCGCAGCACAAACCTCCGATCAATTAGGCATGAAACTAATCTCACAGCAACAGCCAAATAAAAAATCAAATGGTACCTGGTATCCCTGCAACCAAAAGGTCACCTAGATACGGGGAAATCTGAAGTAAGCCCAGTTTCATTAAAAAAAAAAAAAAAAACACAAAAAAATAAATTGATGGCTCAAAGCGGCCACCCACTTCTTAATTCTCGGTGTAAACCAAATTTCCTTGAAGTTTCACTGTCCGCCAGCCACCCCGCTGATACAAGACTGCCCAGGGGACTTGAGTTTCATAGTTGGGCTGGGGTTTACCCCCTTTCTCCAGGGTACCGGAGCGGCGCGGGCAGCCCCGCCACCGGCGCTGCCCCGGCACGGCCGCCCTCGGACCCGAGCGGAACCGGGCGTGGGTCCCCGCGTCCCCCAGCGTTAGCACCCACGCAGGCAGCGCGCACGCTGATTTCCCTATTTACCCTACGCCGCGAGGAGCATCACCGCAGCTCCCAGGGAGCAGCCACCGCTTTGCATCCCTGTCCCCCACGCCCCCAAGCCAGCCTGCTCTCCCGCAGGTGCAGTCCGGGCTGTCACGCGTGGGGGAGCCTAGCAGTGCCCGGAAGCTCGCTCCCTCCGCTCCCTCCCTTCCCTCCCTCCCAGGAGTCCGCGGGGGAGGGGGGATCCGACAGCCCAAACCCGCTTTCGGCCGAGCCCGCCCCGCCGTCCCCCTCCTGCCGCCCGCCCCCCGAGCGATGCAGAAAAGCGCTTCTTCCAGCGCAAACGCCGCTCCCCGCCCTTCACAACGGGGAGGGTCCGGGCCCCGCTGCCGAGCCTCCCCGGCTCCTGCCACTCCCCGCCAGCCGCACCTCCCGCCGCGGTCCGGAGAGCGGAGCGGTGCCCCCGGCCCGGCCCGGCTCCGGTACCTGTTGCGGCGGGGCGCGTCCCCGAGCCCCCGCGGAGCGGAGCGCAGGGCAGAGCGGAGCGGCGGGGCGGGCGGCGCGGCTCCCCCGCCCCTCCCCCGCCTGCCCGCCCGCCCGAGGCGAGCCGCGCCGCCCGGCGACACGGAGCGGCACCCGGGAGGGGACGGGAAAAGGTGCCAAGTCCTTTAAAAACATGTCACATGCCCACATAAAGTTCAAGTTTACGTCCCGCCCGCCGCCCGCCGCGATTGGCGGGCGCGCCTCGGAGCGCGGCGCGGCCGGGGCCAGGCGGACGCGCCATTGGCTGCGCTGCGCCGTCAGTCACCCGCCGGGCGACATGACTGATACAAAGTTGCTGCGACACAGCCTGGGAAACGCATCTCCTTAAAGCCGCAGGGACCGCGCGGCCCCCGCGCTCCGCCCGCCCGCCCGCGGGGTCCCCGCGCACCGCCCCGGGCATCCCCGGCGAGGCCGGCGGCGCGGCGGCCCCGGGACCCCGCGCACAGGTGAGGTGCGCGGGGCGCGGCCGCCCCCGCCCGGTGCCCGCGCCGCGCCGGCGGCAGGGCCGGGCATCGCCTCTCCGCCGGCCCGGGGTTTCCGCCTGTCAGCGGCGCATGAATGCGCACCGTTCTGATGCAGCGGTGATTTAACCAGGGAAATTTTTAAAAATGAATATAATTAGGTGGAGGGGAAAAAAGAAAGAAGAAAAATGTATGGGGGGAAAAAAATAAAAAATAAGGAGCGGAGGAACGACGACGGAGGAGCGCAGGAGGGTTCAAGGACTCGTCCTCCGCTTCCCGCCGGGCTGGCTCCGCTCCGCGGCAGCCGCGCATCCCGCCGGGCGCCCCGCCCGCTGCCTCCCGCCAGCCAGAGGAGCCGCCGGAACGACCCCTGGCCCCGGGGTTGCTGCCACCTCCTATTCCTCAGTGTCCCCCTAGGTGCCTGGATCCCGGCTGCAGGAATACCCATTTCCCAGACAAGCCTTAAAAAAAAAAAAAAAAAAGAAAAGAAAAAAAAATAAAAGGAAAGGAAAAAAGCCGCTGAGCAAACTTTCAGGCGATGCGCTCCCAACTCGCTCGCTTAATACCGCCCCCAGCCCGCGGTCAGCGGCCCCTGAAAGCCCCGCTCCCGGCCCCCGGTGCGCCCCACGGCCCGGCGGGGACAGTTCCACGGCCCCGCACGGTGACAGCGGTGCCCCCGGGAGGGAGACGGGGGGCTGAGCCCGCCGGGCAGCGGCAGCGCCGGGCACCGCGCACCTTCTCCCGCAATCGCCCGTACGCGCCCGCAGGGACCCCGCGTGTGCTGCTGCGGGTTTGTACGGAGTCACGGCGAAAGCGCCAACATCCCTAGGATTTGGGGTGTCACGTGCCCCTCTCGTTTTCCTATTCTGCCAAATATCGACCCACACTCACGGGCCGAGGCGGCGGCTCCCAGCGCCCGCGGCGCGACCCGCGGAGGAGCAGCCGCCACCACCGCCGCGTTTCCCCGCGGGCGCTGGCGAGCAATGGACGTGTCCTTCCCGCGAAGTTTTCACGGATGGGGACGGGACTAGCCGTGACCTGGATACGCTGGCCGGTGTGTCGGACACCCGCCCCGCTGCCCCCCGCGCCGCTGCTCGCCCCGCGCAAGGCTCCGCGCTGCACTCACTCACCTCCCTTAGGACATGGTGGCGCGGCGGGGGGGGAAGGCGCGGCCCCCGGCTACTGGCAGCGAACCATCCGGGAGCCCGCACCGCCACCCAGAGTAGAAAAAAAAAAAAAAAAAAAAAAAGTAAGCGGAGGAAGCACCGGGAGTGCGGCCGGGCGGCGGGAGGGAGCTGCGGCGGCAGGCGGCGGGGTGCCCGCGGCTCGGCTCGGCTCGGCGGACAGCTCCCACCATGGACGCCTAGGTGGGTGGGTGTTCCCGAGGGTCACACCCTCGCCCGCCGGCAGAGGGGAACGGGGGGTGGATCCAGCACCGATGGGGGAGGAAGGAGGTTTTTTTTTTGGGGGGGGGGGGGGGCAAAAGAAGAGGGGGCGGAGAGGGAGGGAGAGAGACACCCTCCAAAAAAAAAATCAAAAAACAAACCTGAAAAAAAAAAAATCAAACTTATGTCATTCCAGGTAAAACTCCCATCTGCGCCACCAAGGAAGAGGAGGGAGGAGAGTGGCGAGGGTGTAAACTTTTTCCTCCCCTCCGCCCCCTCCGGTGTCTCCCGGCCCCTCGCAGCGCCCGGCGGCCGCGGCGCCCCCGCCGCCCCCTCTCGCGCCGCCCGCCCCGGCAGCTCCCGGCGCCGCGGGGTTTCTCACGCACGGAGCCCGCCGCCGCCGCGGTTCCTGGTTCGCGGAGCTGCCGGAGGAAGGGAAGGAGGGCGGGCGGCGGGGGAGGAGGAGTGTCTCCCCGTGCCCTTCCCCAGGCGGAGCGTCTCTCCCGGCCCTGGCGGCGGCGGCGGCGGCGGCGGCGGCGGAACACCCCTCCCCTCCCTGCTCCGACCGCCCCGCTTGGCCCCCGGCGGGCTGCGGGGAGCGGAGCGCCTCTGGACGGGATTGCGGGAGGAGGCTGCGCCCCCCCTCCCCGCCGGGCCTGCGCCTTCCATCCCCCAGTCCCCGCCGCTGCCGGGCGGGGGGAGCCGGTCCCCGCTGCCCCCCAGCGTGCCCTTGTGTCCCGGAATATGGGCAAGGAGCGGGAGCATCCACGCCGCGCTCGCGGGGCTGCGGTGGGGCAAACGCGCTCCGATTCCACACATTAACAGAAAAATTGGTGCTAACAGTGTTGCTGGTTTTAAAATAATATTTAATTTGTGCCTAAGGTCTTTTAGGACTGATTGTGTTTGAGTTCAGGGCATTAAATGTCTCTTCATTCAAACATCCTGAGGAAAAAAAATATGCATTGGAGGAATGAAAGTCTTGACCCTATTTTAATGGCCTCGATGCAAGTCTTTAAACGTGGGAAAGGGCTGCTCGCCAAGAATTTTACCTGTGCCGAAGTCTGTAGGATTGGGGCCTTGGAAAAGGCATTATTTTATCAGCTGTTGTTTGCATCTGTCAGAGTTTGTGTGTAACTTGATAAATGTTAAACAGGGAAGCAGAAAGTGCTGGTGAGGCCAGACTCGGAGATAACGGCACATTCAATAGCTTAATTTCACAATTAGTTTACTGTATTATTGGAAGCAAATCATATTTCACTGTGCCTACACTAGTGCTCTATTTTTAGCCATAATCTAGCTAAAAAGGAGGAACCTACTGAGATGTATTATAACATCGAATGTGAAAAATTCTGTTCTCTCTCTTTTTACTCATTTCGTGTCATACATCTGGTTTGGAATACAGCTCATTTATTAATTGAACAGAACTACCGTGGATGGGCTGATGGCTGCAATTCCAAGGCAGAGGAAAGTTTCACGCAACTCTGCAAGGAACCCAGCAAGTTACAGCCATGCAAAAAGCATCCAAGCACACAGTCTGCTCTCCCAATAACTGGCCTAGCCAGAACAACTATTTTTTATTAATTTAGAATTACAGTGTATTTGCCTCTTTGGTTGCACTTTTTTTGTTTTACTTTTCTTGATATTTTTTTCAGGGTAAAGCTGTAAATGAAAACGGCGTTTGAAATGCTTCGATGTAACCTTTGTGTTACATCATCTTTTTTATTGTATTTTTAAGAACAAAAAGGAAATATAAAATAAAATTGAAGGAATATACAGATCTACTGCCTTAGTACCAAACATTTGATCCCTTCCCTTTCCCCTGTGACACAGACAGAGATGGTTGCTGGAAGAATAAAGCACCTTTCACGGTATGTGCAAGATGCTCACAGTTTTTCCACAAATTCAGTAGAAACCTTATTTGTTTTCTGTTTGTGGTTCACAGGAGCACTTAGCTTTTTAGTGGTTGACACTATACCTATTTTTAGCAGCATTTTAACAGCTGTCACTAACAAATACGATCCCATCTTGAATGAGAAGGGGAGTTTATCTGTTTTATTTTAAAAAATCAGACTACGTAGTTGTCAGATTTTAAAATGCAATTTGGATCTTTATCTGTGAAGAGAAAAGGCTATATTTTCTCATTATGCCAATTCCATGGGGGAAAGAAAAGGGGGATGTGTAGTGGGCTTGATAAAGTAATGACAGGGCTTTGCAAGGTTTGGAAATAATGTTATTCAAAGGCATACAAATGTATATATAGCCCATTTCAGATTTGGTTAAAAGTGGTCCTGTTTTGCTGCCTTCTGCAGCTGTGTTGCGGCGGGGGAAGCTGCAAAGAATCAAGTCACAGTTTTCCAAGTAGGTCAAGAGGAGCAGCGCGGACACCTCCAATGACCAATTCTCTTCCCTCATACTAGATTTTCTATGAGGTTAACTCATGTCACACACATGATACTGAAAGCATCAGACAGACAAGTGTTAGGGCACTCTTGCAGCAGCTGTCATCTCTTTTCCTAAAGATAGGGGCAAATTTGCTATGGATAATGTATTACAAAACAAGATAATGCTGGAACTCGGCAAGTGTCAAATTGTACATCCTCCTGTGCTTAGAAAAGTGAGCGAATTGGTATTAGGGGCTGCAGGAGCAGCGATGTAGTGTAAAAGCAGCCTACTGTACTGTCTTACTTAGAGGTCATGTGCCCTATTTTGAGAACTGAACCAAAGCGGATGAAGTTTTGAGTCAGGTCCAACTAAGGCAGCTGGGCATTTCCCACTTCTCTCCAGCTCTAGCCCAGGAATGCAGGCAATCACATGGTCACACATATTATTCCTTTACCCGACATTACTCACCGTAGATTTAATTTTTGTGCCATTTGGCTCCTGTGGGTTTGATTAGTTGAGATTTGCAGCTGGTCAGAAGTAGTTGCATTTTGGGAAGACACCAGAAACACATTGGGGATGACAGGTGAGAATTTACTTTCCCTGACCAACAGATATGAATTTTCCAAGAGAGGAGTCCACAGTATTTTCTGACTTGCCAGTTAATTGTTTTAAAGCTAGTTTCCCAAGCCATGCTGGAAGTCTTTAGAATTCTTTACAAGATAAAATGTAAGTAAGCATGTTTTCTGTATGGTATGTTTATGTTCTCCAAGATATCAATACTTTATCTATTTAGTCTAATTTTGAACAATTTTGTTGTCTAATTATAGAGAAATCCTTTAGATGAGCAACAGAACATGTTCCCTTTTAACCTGTATTCTTTCTTTTCTACCTTTTTTTCTTTTTTTTTTTTTTTTTGTTAATGCTCTTTAATGGCCATGTTGTAACTGTGGTTGAACCACATCTAAGTATAGTACAAGTGCATTTCTAATGCACATTGGCATTAGAAACCACTTTCTTGTGCAAAGGGCCAAGACATGCATTTAAAAACATCTATTTCCAATGCATTTCAAATCACAGTTTTTATTGACTATTAGCACCAATAGTTTCATCTGCTTCAAAATAAAAACCTCCCACAGGGAGTTGCTTGTTGTGGATAATAGGTCCTGTAGAGAGTGGCAGGACAAGCAAAGCATGAAGAATAACACATGGGCAGTACTTTGTATTTTCTGGAGCTTTAATATTGTGACATATGTTTACATCATTTATAGTCAGCTTCTCTCTTGCACCATTTCTTGTACGAATATGCAATTTGTAAAAAAAATTGTCATTGTCACAGAAAGCAGCCTTATCTCGATATTAATGAATTCCCAAGCAATAGAAGGTAGTGGCAGCTAATTGTATCTTAATATTTATCTACTACCTACTGGCATTTTTGCAATATCAAATGGTAACTCATGCCGTAATCTGATAAAAAATTTGTAGTAACCATAATAGTACTGCCAAAAATAGTACTGTGCCAAAAACCCAGACACAGTGCTTAACAGCAGTAAAAAGTGCAAATAGCACCCTCCAGCACTTAATAAACATATCAAATGCAAATTGGAGGAAATTATTTAATCAGTCTATAGGCTAGTTAATTTTGATGATTATTCACAGTTCTAGCAGCAATACTTGAAGTGTGGAATAAGTTAGTACCAAATTGTCATGACACCAAGGTCATAAGCAGAATTTGAAACTTGCTGCATAGAGGAAATTATCTTCCTGATTGAATGAAGGTGCAGCTTTAAAGCTCCTACATCAAAAGGAGAATTCTTATGTAATTTTACAGATTCTTTTATAATCCTGAAATTGCCTGCTCCCAGATATTATTCAATGGGAGATGGTTTGATATAAAACTGCATGATCAAATTCATATTGAGACTTGAAAAACATTTGTTGTCTACATTTTTTTAAAATCTGTATTTCCTGGAGAAAAGAGATTTTGACTGGACTCTCCCCAAAGTGTACAATGAAGCAGAGACTGAGAAGAGCAATGCTGTGAAGCTAAGAGAGTGAGGAAGAAACATGTACAAGACAGAAAAGGAAAAGAAAAACCTATTGATTTTGGTGGAAGATGCACTGCTTTCCTAAATAAATTTTGTTGATTTTGTTCATATATTGAACTCTCGCTTCCTTTGTAGGCTATGATCCAGCTCTAGGAGCCCCTTCAATGTGTCCCCTAGGCCCACACTGGGCAGTTGATTTTGCACAACATGGAGAGTTGGTCCTTGCCAGATGCACATTGCTTTACACAGGTTTGGTTAAAAAAGGAACCATAAGGCAGTGTTCTGAGTACATGTCCTAGCTTTGGAGATCAAGGTCACACCAGAATTTGTCTGCCCTAGACTAAATATCTGGTAATGAAAAGTCATGCATTCCAGCATTTTCCCACTGAACTTAAGAGGACTTGGCTTACAAGTCACGAGGGAGAAATTTTGGCACATTAGATTGGTTTGTCCGTAGTAACTCACAGGTGAGGGTAGTATTCTCATCAACCCTATTGCCTGGCTGTGGTTCATTCTCTTCTGGTTTAAACCAACTCAGCTTGGTTTCCACAAAGGGTGCTCTCTCTATCAGTGCTTGTGCAATCCTGGCACCTGCAGCATCCAAGAGCCACACAGACCCATTTCTTCTGAGTTCTAGAAAGAAGAGCAGCATTATCAGCATTTTATAAGCAGGGAGTGGAGGAACAAAGAGATTGCAGGGTTTATCTCATGCCACTAAGAAGGTTACAAAGTACAAAGATTATTACTTCCCAAATCACAATCACCGCATTCCATTGAGGGACCAGGGTCCCTTTTCAGCCATGGCCTTCCCAGGGATGCTGCCAGAGCATGAGTGACATAGCCTTAAAACCCTTTTGGTTGTTGTCTGGGAAGGAAAACACGTGCTGTGCTTGAATGGAGTCATTATTGGAATGAATTTTAGAAACCCCATATTGCTGGGGCTTTTACCATATGGATTAGCAGCAGCCACTGAAGACTGATATTACCTTCCCTACCTGCTCAAACCTGGTCGGAGGAGTCACATTCCATGAATACGCAAGAATTTCTGGCATGAATGCTTGTACATGCATATTTTGGCTCCCATGCATGTTGTTCATGCACTCACCACTTTGAACTCTGCTTTTCATGAGTAATTCTGACCAAAAAAACTCATTCCTTCATATATGTATCTAAAATGTAAACACATAAGATGCCAAATGGAAGTAATATCATAAGCTTTTTGTTATTTATTCATTTTTCATTCCATTCTCAGCCCTGGCTAGATGCTCACAGAGTGGAAATTATGTACCACTCTCAAGATTTCTAAAGGAAGATCAGCCAGGACTCAAAGGAAATCTTGTTTAAGAGTCAAAGTTGTTCCATGGTAGGACTCATAGAGGGTTTAGCAAACAAGAATTTCTCTTGACATGGTTCATTTATGTCCTCTATGCATGACTTAAAATTGAAAACATGAGCCTATCAGAAATCTTTTGTGTTCAACAGCTGCTTGTAAGACATGACTACTTCCAAATGTAAGAGCAGGTACTGATCCTTTTAATCTGGTTACTTTAGTCTTGCTCTAGGCAGAAGACACCTCTCACTGTGGTGCTAGTCCTGCAGGACTTCTCAAGTCCTAACCATTACTCTTATCTGTAAGAAGAATAAAAAAGACCACTGAAAGGTGATTAAGGTCCACTGTCCTTAACACAGGACAGTTAAGGAAAGGTCCACTGTCCTTAACACAGGACAGTTAAGGAACTAGAGGTGCTGAGCTGTATTTGCATTATTTATACTACTATTTTATAGCCGCAATAATAGTGATTGTAACATGATTTACAATGTTTCTCTATCAGGAGAGAAAGAATTAGACCTTCTTTTAGTGGGAATCATTAAAAAAATGAATACATAAAGTAGGCAGTACAATCTGCCTGCACATTTTTATTTCAGAGCTTGTACTGAAGGGTGTCTAAGCAAGTGCTTCCTTGTAGATCTATTGTGGAGAGCAAATGAATCCCAGGGACTGTCGCTCCTTGTTGATCATCAGTGGGCGTAGATGCAGTAGATGTAAAGGTCTATGACTCACTGAGCTAGCTAAGGTGAAACCAGATGAGAGGAGATAATTGCACCATTATAAAAAGAATTATCATAGTTTGATTACAGAAAAAAAAATCTTCTAATGGTGCCATAACTCTTGGGAGCTAGAATATGAGATGGGACTGAAAGTGAGGAGTTCATGTCAAGGAATAGTAAAATGTCCCTTTTAATTGATCCATTCTAATTAGACATGCCAAAAAGATGATTTCAAGGATTGAAGGTATAATTGGTCAAAACAGCCTAAGGTACATCCCCATGCCAGTTCTGATTACAAAAAAAAAAAAAAAAAAAAAAAAAAAAAGACTAATCAAAGAGATGAATTGACAAGGACAAGAAATTTATAATTCCAGAGATTACTGGAATACTTCATGAATGAGATGATGCAACCTCCTGCCTTATGCATGAAAATAGATACTGAGTTTAAAAATTACCCATCTAGTCTGATGATCCATACATTGAAGAGTGAAAGAGAAGGGTTGCAGGTAATCTAGACTGATATGAGAAATTCTAATACTTACAGTGATATGAAGAATGCATTTCCTTTTGACAGACAGTGAAGATTTGGTGTCTGTAAGTCCAGAAACCATGTCTATAAAATGCAGAAAGTATTTGGGCAATTAAGAACAAAAAGGAAATGTGGTGTAAATTAATGGGCATCTTTATAGTTTACATGGAAACACTTGTCAGGATGGTTTCATACCTTATACATTATAAGCTGACTACAATTTAAGCTGCAAAAGCAGAATGAAGAAGACAATAAATTTTGAAGCACACTAACAAAAGCCTGTCATTTTCTCTTTCTATCTGTGTGTGTGTGGAGGTTTTAGTAGTGCTATATACTAAGATGAGTAGCAAAACTTGGGGAAGTACCAAGATTTGAAGCATCCCTTTGATAATTTCCTCCTAGTCTGCAGCTTCAGAGGGGCAGATTGGCAGGAAGAAATTTGAAGCAGTTTTTCAGTATCACCTTTGGGGTTGTAACAAGGGGGAAACAGTCACAACTCTTATCCCAAAAGTTTATTTCCATGAAGGTGATTCAGAATTGGTGAAGACATAGCAGTTGGTGGTGGGAGGTAACTTTATATGGCTCACATGAAGTGAGAAAGGTGTTTCTTACAAAGTTCCTTACAGCCAACATTTGATTTGAGGCTCTCCAACACTATGTCCCAGCGGCCTTGGTAAAGAATAAGACACGACACTCCACTGTTGTTATGAATCAGTAGGGAGAGCAGTTCAGAGAAACCTCAGTTGAATGTGACAGATAAGAGAGTCCATCAAATTCGGTCCATCCTCCTTTGCTTCTGCTTCCCAGCTCCCTGCACCTCTGTAGGAGCTGAAAGGAAGAGGGAGACTCAGACTCGCATGTTACAAATCTTATCCAAAGCACATCTGTAAATTACAGCCTCTGCCTTCGAGTGTGCTCAGTGCTTACTTTTTGTTCACTGCAGCATTAGCCATATAGTGATGTTACTTCAGGGCTTGGCAGAACATTATATTAAATATGATTCCAGATATTGGTGTGCACCCTCAATATTTTTATTTGTTGGATTTAAAGTTAATAATATTCTGGCATAGCCCTGGTCCAGGCAAATGGATTTTTTTTTTTTTAATGAGTTTTCCATAAGAAAAAAAACAGGAGATTTTTCCCACTCAGTTAAGCTCACATATGGACATGAGGACTGTTCAAAATGCTGTTCACCACAGGAAAGCATTGGTAAGGCACTGATAGAGGCAATCACATGCATCACAGAAGTTTCTGTCAGACAACAAAACGTTCCCACAGAGCAAGGAAGTTTATGCATTGATCCCATTAGGGGAGTTCTGCTTTCAGGGCAGTGCCACATCTGGAAACAAGAAGCTGCACCTTATTAGGATGATGAACAAACATTGAGACTGTGAGAGGTTTGATGGGGTTTCTGTTGGACTGTAAGCTATAAGGTAAATCCCACTGCTCTGGTGGGATAGGTTTTGTCTTAAGGGGACAGGCAGTGACCAGATAAATGAGTAGCCCAGAGGATTAGGAGATGCCACTTCTCTGGGTTTTCCACTTAAGTGTAAGTCTGTTTGCATTCAATGTTAGTAGTAATTTCTGAGTGACCTATACCCAGTCCTACTGTGGATCCTCAACTTTTATTTGGGGATGATGTATTTCAGTGTCTCTGTCTCACCCTCCATGGTGTGACTGATAAGTTCTGTCTGCTGAAGTGGTCCAGCCAAAAGCCATAGCCCTAGGAAAGGGGCTACAGTGGTTTTAGCCCTTCCTCAAGTGCCATGGGTTAAGAGCTTCTCTGGCATGGCATGAAGTGGTTTCACTCAGCTCTTAGGTTGCCAGTGGCTCTGGGTGTTTTGTCACAGGCTGGCAGGATCTCCTGAGTGATGCAGGGGATTTCTGCTTAGGAGAATATTTGGCTGATGAAGTGTTTGCGACTTCTTTGGGAATGCCCCCTCATGTGAGCATCTCAGGCCCAAGAAGATGCAAATCTTACCCTGGCTCAGTGCTTTCCTGGCAGAATTTCTTTGTGGTTTTCTGCCTTGTCTTTAATAATACAGTGAAGAGAACCAACCATGTGCAAATATGTGCATATATATATATATATATATATATATGCTTTATGCACATCTGGACTGTAGCCACTCTAAAAGCAAGTAAAACAAGTTAGAGTACATACATTACAGAAAGGCATGCCAGTTTATTTTACAGGCTACGTTAACTCCTGAGGAATCACACTTTGGTCCCTCTCCTGGTTTCTGGAGGAAACTTGTCTCTACACTGCTCTTTTTCATGCAACACACATATGCAATGTTTGCTGTCTTTGTTGTAAGGATATTCTGTTAGGACCAGGAAGAGAAAAAAAAGTTGGAAAGGCTGCTGTCATTTGCAATGTAGGCAGGGAAATGGTTTTAAGCCAACAATTAACACACATGCAGTAGCTGACCCGAGGTTGGTAATGCACATTGTTTCTGAAATAAAGCCTGAAGTTCCCTAGAAGAAACCAAAGAACTACGCAGAATTCTCCTGGGTTTTCCTACAGCTCTAAGTGCTGAAGATTAAATAGGTGATAAACGATGACTTGTGAAGAGCTTCATATTGCCAGATAGAGAAATCTCACAAGATCCAAACCCCAATATCCTATGGACATACATAGACAGAAAGACATAGATCTAATTTTTCCCTCAGCTATATGTCTGATCAGTAAGCGAAAAACTATACATGCATAGCTAAGCAGAAGATACACATGCAGACATGTCTAGGTGCTTACTTTACTGAATCCATTATATAGCTTTGCAACATGCACCAAAATATGTGGAGATAAGTGTGGGGACAGAAAATCCAACCCTGACTATGTGTTATAAACAAATTTTTTTGCTTTGGGTTCCATATTCTAAAAAGCATGGTAGTGCCTTGGTATGTCATAGCATAGATTAGCAATAGAAAAAAGAGTTATTTTGTAAATTATTAGAATTTTGCTTTTCTACTGCTGTTTTAGCCTTTTTTTTTTTTTAATATCATTCTATGTTTGGTAAAAGTTTAGCATATCTGTGTAAATACAATGATAAATGCTAATTTTTAATTCTTTGAACAATACATTTTGTCGATGTTCTCTCTTTGGAAGAATTTGTTTATTTGAGAGGCAGTTTCAATAGCATGTGGCCGATTATTTTAATAAAACGAAGTGAGATCAATATCATGGAAGCAGAATTAAATATCTTTAAGAAGATGCTCACATCGTAACCCTTTGTATGTGGCTTTGTATTTTGAAGTGGAGAGATAAATAAAGGAGAATCACAGAATATGATTCCCCTATTCACTTGTATTCAGGAAGGTAAAGATTGCTTGAAATATGTCTGATGAAGCTGGGTTTTTCATAAAATAAAATAGAAGAGATTATTCAGTGAGCCCAAGAAAGCAGTCTTCCTGAAGGAGACAACCAAGAGGCTGCAGGTGATGTAAACAGATTATATTTCTTGGAGATTAAAGTGAGGATTCTGACATTTGAGAGACTATTAAAAAATGCACTGTGCTCACTATCATCTGTGGGGAGTATTGATTGCTGAGCTGTTTACTTGTAAAAGGAATTCTTTCTGGTCAAGTGATGCAATTTTAGGGAAGGAATGACCTCTGCAGGATGAAGGGGCATACAATTATAAATCATACCAAATGTGGTTGAAACTCTCCCACTGGCAAGAGAGAAAATCAAATTAAAGCAAATATTGTATTAAAGGAGTTTCAGTGGATGCCTTGGACAGCTCTGATTTTCATGTAAATATTCATTTAGACTGAAGTTTACTGCCTCCTCAGAATAATGGTGAAGAAAAGAAAAGCATATTTAATTGGAAAGGAAGGGAATGCTAAGGAAACAGATGAATTGCAACTCACTTTCTAGATTTTTTCCTGCAGATCTAGCAGCTATGGTAGCTCAGTGTCTTAAATTGTTCAAAAGAAAACAGTAATTGAACTTCAATCCATATAATTCAGGAAATCTTGCACTTTTTTTTTTTATTTTTATTTTTCCTTTTAAAATCTTTTTTATGTCTTCCAGATTATTGCAGCTTTAGGTAATTTTCCTGTCAAGTCCTTTTGCATGTCCTTGTGGGAATTGCCTAGTGATTGACAGCTTTGATCTGGAAATTGTTGCAGCTAAACTGCTACAATTCATATGGAGAGAACTGCCAAATAATTTGACAGATAGGTGCCAAGAAATGACGTATGAGTATCTGTCAGACAAAGTTTTTTAGAGGAACCATCCTTTGAGTTTGGCTTCTGGTGGACTACAAAGAGCTGGCAGCACCCTGTTCTGCAGAGGCAAAGTGCTGGGATGGGCTATGGCTGCTGTAAGTAAATCCCTATAAAGTCATCATCAGAAATCAGGAATTAAGGATTTTTCAGTGACGGCACCAGCTCACAGGCTAACACTTTTGCCTGAAAGAGTGTGAAACTGATGTAAAATATTTCCTGAAATGAAATGTTTAATAAGAAACATGGGAGTAAGTAGGGTTGTTTTATCTGAGCACTGCCCAAATCTAAGATAAATGAAACATACTGCATTTCTGCTTGCTTTTTTTTTTTTTTTTTGGCATTTGCACAAAAAAAAAAAAAAAAAAAAACACCAAAAAAAACCAACAAAAAAAAACCAAAAAAAACCAGCCTAAAAGTTATAGAGATTTACCCTAACTGTAAGAATCAACAAAAGTATAAATGTCATGGTAGGCTATCAGGCAACTGAAGCAACACATGTTCAAACCTAACTGAGTAAACATATTTTATTTGCATTCAACCTAATGCCTTGAAAATGGAGTTAACCTCGTAGTGCTGAACTCAGGGCAGGTAGAAGGTCATTTCCCTAATCCAACAAATTGAGATGTCAACTCTGTAGCCTGAACTGTTCCATTCCTAAACCTTTTGTTGCATTTGTCTGTGTACGTGGAGGTTTAATGCAGCAAGGTATTGAAAATCTCATCAAGTTCAACAGAGTAAACCTTTAAAAGCGCTTTTCATCATTAAACATTCCCATGCTCTGTAATGTGCAAGGTAACATGAGCTTACTTTGAGGAAGATTTAAGCAGGAGAAAGTGTCCTGGTGCCTGAAGCTGGCAGTGTGCTAATTAAAGATGCACAAAAGAAAATTTAAGAGAGTAGGTTTTAGGAGGGAGGGAGGGAAGGAAGGAGACCATCCCTAACAGAAAGATGTGATGCTTCAGCTGCCGAGCCAAATACGGGGAGCAGGAGTGCATAAATAGGAAGAAGCAGGAAAGAAGAAGTCACTTAACTGTGGGC